CACCAGTACTGTATCCCCAGTGTTATACAGTGACAGACCTGTCCCCACCGGTACTGTACTATATAGACTGCTGCTACTTGCTGTGACTCCCTTGTGCTTCCATACAGCTGAAAGCAGCAGTTGAAAGCTGCGTGAAGGGGACTTCCACCCGGGGGAGCTCGTCCAAGGAGGAGGACCTGTCTCAGAACATCACCCTCATTCACAACGAAGGTGCCAAGGAGTGCTGAAGGCTGAATGAGCTTGGCAATGAACCGATGTTGGAATCTCCCTCCGAGCCATGCCTTGATGTGAACACTGCTTGAGTGATAACTGTGTTTTCCCATTGACAGAAGCCACTGACAGAACAGCTAGAGAAAACCATGTGTAAATGGATCCACCACTTGCCTGTTGCATTCCACCCAACTACCATCTCCCCATCCGTGTTTCCCCAGTGCTGGTGTCTGGAATAGAATCATAGATTCTTTACAGTGTGGAAGCAGGCCATTCGATGCATCAAGTCCAAAGAGCATCCCACCCAGACCCACCCCTCTACCCTATCCATGTAACCCTGCATTTCCCATTGCTAACCCACCTAGCCTACGTATCCCTGGACACTATGGGCAATTTAGCACGGCCAATCCACCCTAACCTACACATCGTTGGATTGTGAGAGGAAACTGGAGCACCTGGAGCAAACCCACGCAGACACGGGAGAACATGCAAACTCCACACAGACAGCTGCCTGAGGGTGGAATTGAACCCAGGTCCCTGGCGCTGTGAGGCAGCAGAACTAACCACTGAACCATCATGTCACCAATGCCGCATCTCCCATTTCAGTCCTCGGCTCACGACAAACATGCCTCCACCTGTTGGAATCTGAGTGCTGATGCTTTCCTCTCTGCATTACATGAGAGATGCTATTAAGATGCAAGATACTTTTGTAGTGCCTGCTGTTCTCAGTCCTGCCACACGGTGACACTGTTTCTCCATTTGGCTCTTGATTCACTGCTGCAGAAAGCAGAGCTAAATTATATCATTGAACTCAGTCAGTGGCCAATGGGGCAAAGACTCTCCGCTGGATGGTGTCACACTTTGCACCAAAGGAAAATGGTTGTGGTCTTTGGAGGTCAGTTGTCTCCGTCCCATTGCTGCAGGAGTTGCTCAGAGTAGAGTCCCATCTTCAGCTTCTCCATCAGTGACCTTCCTACCAGGTCCGAGGGTGGTGTCTTCAGCAGATGAAGGGTCTAGGCCCGAAACGTCAGCCTTTCTGTTCCTATGATGCTGCTTGGCCGGCTGTGTTCATCCAGCTCTGCACCTTGTTGTCTCGGATTCTCCAGCATCTGCAGTTCCTACTATCTCTGATCACACACACTGTCCAGTTTGAAATCCCAGTTACAGAAACAGTCCACGTCCACACGCGACAAGATGCAATCAATATCCAGGCCTGGACCGACAGGAGGCCAATAACATTTGTGCCACACAAGTGCTAGGCAATGACCATCTCCACCAAAACAGAATCTAATCATCGCCCCCTTGACGTTCAATGGCATTGTTGTCATTGAATCCTCCATTATCAGCATCCTGGGGTTACCATTGACCAGAAGCTGAACTGGACCAGCCATATGAATACTATGGCTACAGGAACAGATCAGAAGCTGGTGATTCTGCACTGAATAATTTACCTTCTGATTCCCAGTCCATCATCCGAGCATCATACTGACATTCTCACATGGGTAAAAATCACCCACACAGAAAGTTGGGAATATAGACTGTGTTTTTGGAGGGGGGCAGTTGGAGGGTTTCCTTGATTCTCTAACAGTCCAGGGTTCAGGACAGAATTTCCAAATGATGGCATTGTGAATTGCATGTCCAGGTTGTGTGGGACTGAGCTGCAAGCAGTTATGGTGCAATCATTTAGCATGGAGGGAAGCCATTTGGTCTATTGTGCCTGTACTGGCTCTTTGCAAGAACTTTCTAATTGCACTGAAGGCAGTTTGGCAAAAGTTCATTTGGCTGACTGCTGGGATCAAGGGCTACAAGGAACTGTTGTGTAGGGTTGGGCCTGTACACATTGGGGTTTAGAAAAATGGGAGATGGTCCTGTTGAAACACACAAGATTCTGAGTGAGCTTGACAGGATAGGTGCTGTTTCCCCCTCGTTGCGCGAGAGTAGAACACAGTTTTCAAAACAAGGGGCCTCCCATTTGTTATGGAGATAGAAGAAATTTCTTCTCAGAGGGCGGTTAATATTTTTGTTTTATTTGTTCAGGAGATGTGGCCAACGCTGGCTGTGCCTGCATTTATGCCCGTCTAATTGCCCTTCAAGAAGTGAGCTGTCTTCTTGATCGTCTGCAGTCCTTAAGGGGTAGGGACACCCACATAGTGTTGTTAGGGAGTGAGTTCCTGGATTTTGATGCAACAACAGTAAACAAGCACCGAAATGGTTCCAAACTTCTCTTCTGTGGAGCTTTCTACAGACCAGTCGAGGCCGAGTCATGGGTTATATTCAAGGCCGAGTTAAACAGATTGTTGCTGGACAGGGGAGTTAAGGATTAATGTGGGACAGACAAGAAAGTGGAGTTGAGGCCACAACCAGATGAGCCACAATCAGAAAGAACAGTGGAACAAGGTACTGGATTAATTACTCTGACTGCCAAAATAGCCAATACAATGCTCACCAACCCCCTTTTCAGTAAGGCTTTTGGTGAATTGGGGGCCAGCTCACCTGTGCACCTGTTGACAACAGTGTGCCAACTAATGACTTAGAGACAGGTTGGGTATTGCAGAAAAGCTCCACAGCAATCAGTCTATTTATTTCCCCGAAGGGAATTCCAGGACTTGTCGCCCAGTGACACTGAAGGACCGTGTGTAGCTTGGAGGGGAACCTGTAGTTGCTGGTACATCTGCTGCTCTTGTCTTTCTAGGTTGTAAGTGGTTGCAAGTTTGGAATTTGGTGTTGAAGGAGCCACAGTGAATTTCTGCAGTGCATGTTGGAAGTGGTACACACTGCTGCTACTCTGCATCGGTGGTGGAGGGACTGGATGTGGTGCCAATCAAGTGGGCTGCTTCATCCTCAATAGAGTTGTACAGTACAGAAACAGACCCTTCGGTCCAACTCGTCCATGCTGACCAGATAGCCTAAAATTATCTAGTCCCATTGTCAGCACTTGGCCCATATCCCTCTAAACCCTTCCTATTCCCGTACCCATCCAAAAACCTTCTAACTGTTGTAATTTTATCAGTCTCCACCACTTCCTCTGGCAGCTCATTCCATACATGCACCACCCTCTACATGAGAAAGTTGTCCTTTAGGTCTCTTTAAAATCTTTTCCCTCTCTCCTTAAACCTATACAGTCTAGTTTTGGACTCCCCCACTCTGGGGAAAAGGTCCTTGGCTATTTATATTAACCATGCCCCTCATGATTTTATAGACCTCTAATAAGGTCAGCCCTCCAATGCTCCAGGGAAAATAGCCCCAACCTATTTGGCCTCTCCCTGTAGCTCAAACCCTCCAGTCCTGGTAACATCCAGGCAAGTGGGGATTATTCCATCATATTCCTGACATGTGTCTCATAGATGGTGGGCTTTTGGGGAGACAGGAGGTAGTTTATACACGGCAGGATTCCCAACCTCTGACCTGCACTTATGATCACAGTATCTGACCAATACTAAACTCTGTCTGACCCCCAAGATGCCAACAGTTGGAGATCAAGTAATGGTAATACCTTTGAACATTAAGAGGATGCAGTTACTGTGACTTGTGTTGACAGTTTATAGGGTCAGAGAGGTCAGCAGTACAGAGGAAGATGCTTTGGCCCATCGGGTCTGCAGCAGTGACAAACAAAACCATGTGTTAGAGCAGTTGAATGTAACTGCAGCAAAGCCATCCAGTGAAAGCAGGATAACTTTTCCAGCAAAATGCAGCCAGTAGGGAATTGTTACATAATACAAAGTCCGAGTGTAGAGTCAATCCCATTCCCTTTGGCAGTGGAGTTCCAGGAATGGTGGATGCTAATTAGCACAATCTATCATAATTATCTTACTGTTTTGCAACCTTGAGATGTACAAGACCTTGATTGGTTAATAAAAATATATTTAAATATGTAAAATGATATTGGTTTAGCTGTCATTAAAGAAGATGAACATTATTTAATTTTCCATTAAATAATAATTGCTGAATTAGAAGAAAATGGTAATCTGGAATGGTGTGAAATAAAATGGACAAGGACCTCTTTCCCTTAGCAGAGAGAATCATTAGCCGGTAAATCTTTAACAGCACATGATAGTCACTGGCTGGGCCAGCATCTATCGCCTATTAATCTGTGATTGCCCTTGAGAAGGTGATGATGAAGTGCCTTCTTAAAATGCTGTGGTTCATTCGATAATAGGAACATATACAACGCCGCTAGGGAGAGAGTTCCAGGATTTTGACCCAGTGACAGTGAAGGAACGGCAACATATTTCCAAGTCAGGATGATGTAGCTCAGAGGGGAACCTGCAGGGGATGATGTTCCTATGCGTCTGCTGCCCTTGTCCTTCTAGATAGTAGAAGTCATGGACTGGAAGGTGCTGTCAAATGAGCCTGGGTGAGTTGCTAAAGTGCATCATGTTGATGGTACACACTATTGCCACCATATGTCATTGGTGGAGTGGATGTTTGTGGATGTTGTACAATCAAGTGGGGGCTGCTTTGTACCTGGATGGTGTCGATCTTCTTCAGTGTTGTTGGAGCTGCACTCACCCAGGCAAGTGGGGAGTATCCCATCACACTCTGACTTACACCTTGTGGATGTTGGCCAGGCTTCAAGGAGTCAGAAGGTGAATCACCTCAGGATTACGAGAGTTTGGTAGCCTTAGTATTTATGTTGATGGACCAATTCAATTTTGGTGATAGATTTAAAGTAATTAGTGTAAACGTTAGAGGAGATTTGAGGAGAAATGTTGCACCTGGAGGTGGTTAGGGATCTGGAACACAATGTCCAAAAAGGTGACTGAGGCAGGACCCTCAATTTAAAAAGAGCTTGGATATTTACTTTTGCTGCTAATAACCTAAAGGGATATGGGAACAAGACTGGGAGTTGGGTCAGGTCGGATAGCCTCTGTACCTTGGATTTTCTGGGTTTCCCTGTTACAACCAGAAAATAATGGACAGACACAACAACACAGGAGGGAATGGGTGGTGTGGGATAGGATGGTTGCAGGAAGCAAAGTAAGTTTTATCACAGTGAATTTAATAAAAGAACCCCTTTCAATGCAAGGTGTTTACCTGATAATCATGTTCTCAGATTCTCAGTAATCTGGATTCCATTGCAACATTTTCTAAACCTGTGCAAATCATGTTTTATTAACCTTTTGCAGATATTGCATTTATCTGCCTCCTATCAGTTTGACCACAGGACCAGGAGTAACCTCTCAAACCTGTTCCCCCATTCACTGGT